GGATTTTAAGTGAGTTCCGCACCTGCGATGGAAATTCAGCAAGTGCGGTATCGCAGAAGCGTAAAAGGGACCGCATGTGCGATTTTGTTGGGCAGAAGGTATAAAAAGGGGACTTCGTGATTTTTGCTAATTTCCATCATTTTCAATTCGGACTATAGAGCTTTTGGGGTGATTTTTGAAGGGGATTCAAGGATATTCACTGATGTAAGTTGATTGAGCTCTATTATGATTAGCTATGGTGTTTTTCCGTTGATTTCCCACCTAATTAGTAGGATTTTTGAAGTGAAATAAGGGGTTAGGGCTTGAGATTTTGGAGAGAGTAATTTGGGGATTTGAGGGACCAAATGAGGTCGGATTTTGATGAATTTAGTATGGGTAGACTTATGAGTGAATGGGCTTTCGGGTTTTATGACTTTTGTCGAATTTCGAAACGTGGGCCTGGGTGCCGGGTTTGAGTGAATTTCGGAATTTGGCCTATAATTTGGTATTTTCCTTGTGGGATTCATTCCTTTAGCTCATATTGATCATATTTTATTGCTTGTGGCTAGATTCGGGTCATTTGGAGGCCGGTTCGAGAGGAAAGAGGATTCCGAAGTAGGAGTTCTACGTTGTTGAGGCAATTAACAGTTTTAAATCTGGTCTTGAGGGTATGAAACCCGGAGTTTGGTATAATGTGATTGTTTGGAGGTGGCACCCATGCTAGGTGATGGGTGTGTGGGTGTACGCCGTGAGGGATTGAGACTTGGTCCGTCCCGGGAGACTGTGAAGTCTAATAGCCTTTATTTGTGTTTATATGCATTCCTGTCTACTAGAACTTGACTATCTTTCATGTTAGAAATCATGCTTAGGCTATATTTCTACTCGTGGTAGTTATATTCAGTTATAGTGATTCTTGTACATGTTTACCTCAGTCTCTGTTATTTTCACGTATGATATACTGTAACACTTTGATTTGGGGTGTTTTCCCTTTCTTTATTGAGAGCTATGAGACTAGAGAGGTTCATGACTGAGTAAGGCTGAGGGCCAGTTTGTGAGATATTATACTATAGCACGTGAGTTGTTCGTGCAGTATGTCAGTTGTCCGTGTAGATCCTTATATTATACTAAAGCACGTGAGTTATCCGTGCAGCACGTAAGTTGTCCGTGCAGATCCAGATATTTATACTATGGCACGTGAGTTGTCCGTGCAGATTATAGAGCTTGGGCTGTAGTAGCCCCTCATGAGTCTGAACACCCCCAGTGAGCGCAGGTACCTATTGAGCGTGTGCATTGAGGGTTGAGAGTTGAGTGTCGAGTTATTGAGGGTTTGAGTGACAACGTCTTTGAGGTTTCATCTATTTCACTTTGTTGCTGCATTTAGCTGAAAATTGTCTGGCTGGAATTGGTAATTATGCAACTGATCTTTTACTCATGTTTACTCTTAACAGTGAAAATTATCAACTGAATTGTTCTGTATAGCTCGTCACTATTTCTCGATTCCTTATTTATTTATGTTACTTGCTGAGTTGGTTGTACTCATACTTCACCCTGCACTACATGTGTAGATCCAGGTGTGTCTGAGCACGGAGATTGTTGAGTCCAGGCCTGTTTGAGTTTCGGAGACTGCAAGGTCCAGCGTCCGCAGGACCTTGTTACTCTTTTCACATTTCTTTTCATTTTGTACTGATATTTAGACATTGACTGTAATAGTTTAAATACTTAGACGCTCATGACTTAGTGACACCCCGATGTTTGGGGCTCGTTTTCCGAACTTTGTTCCAAATTTGAGTTTAACTTTGATTTTATGAAAAATTTCTAATATGGAAAGCTTTATTTTACTTTTATATTTAGTTTGGAAGTATTTTTGGAAAGGTCAGCTTACCTAGTACCACCGATAGGCGCCATCACGACACGTTAGGTTTTGGGGTCGTGACAAATTAAATGCAAGATTGAATAAATAAACTAATATGATAAAATAGTAAGAATAATTTAAATTTCAAACTACAACGTTCATGTAGCACCCAACAACTCTAGAACTAATAAACTATGAGATTAAAGGAAGAGAAGAGAAGAAAAATTAGTTGAAAGCCTCCTCCAAGCGTAGTGTTCTTGCCTCCGGTCGCAAAACTCACTCCCCTAAAAATGGTATTTAATGACTATTTATATGTGTACAGAAAAGATCCAAACGAAATAATCAAATCCAAGACCAAATAGGAGATAAAATAGACTTTAAAAATCCTGAACACGCTCGTTGTAGACCATGCCTCGCGACCTCTAACGCGAGCCTCACCTCGTTGTTCACCAGGTAACGCGAGCTCTAATGCTCGCTTTCCACTGTGCGAAGCGAGATGTTTCGCGAGCAAAATTCCTTGCTACGCCTATTCTGTTTCTGCTTCGTTTCAATTTCATCTACTTTGCCTAACTTTTGCCAAATTCACGTTCTTGTCTTTCCTTTCCAACTCCTTTGCATTGTTTCTTTAATCATTGCTCAATCTACTGCTTAGTTTCACTTTATCACTTCTTAGCTTTCTTCTTTATTCACTATCATATTGTTGTAGAGCATGAATTAGACATTAAATATTTACTTTCCTCAAATTTTATCTCCAATGTACCTATACATAAAATAAACTCAATTAAGCACAAATATAGTATAGTTTAGTATTAAAGCACCAAAATATAAGATAATTAATGCACTAAAAATATAAAATTATAGCCAAACATCTCTTAGGCCTTGCTTCGATTGTCATTAGTCAATTAGCTCTAGATTCTTAATTAATTTTAGTATTAACTACATAAATCTAAATTGTTGATCATCTTGGATAACAATCTAGCTACAAACTACGATAATACTATTTAACTCCAATCCCTGTGGATACGATATTATATTATACTATCTTTGACAAGCGAGCACAAATTAAGTGTGTGTTTTGCGCTCGTTAAGATGCGAAGAGTTAGGGAAGGCTGCTAAGGTATACAATTATATTGGTGGAATGGGTTGCGGCTCAATTTAGCTTGAGTAAAATACTTTGACGTTGTCCTATATATGATTTCAGTTGGTCCTAATTCTATAACAAAGAATGAAGACGCCTTAACCTAAAAGGAGTTCTAAGTGCAAGAAAATTTCCTATTTTAATTTTCCGGCAGTAAAGTTTCCTACTTTGATTTTTCCAGTATTAAAATTTCCTATTTTGTTTTTTTCGGTGTTGTTTTTCTTTTATAAATTTGTTATATTACATAGTTCAAATAAGAAAGAATATAATACACAATATATTAATTTTATAGTCCTAAATATTAGAAAAATAATTAAATTACGATTATGTTCAATGTGAAACCTATATTTAAAGGGTAAAAAAGACGAACGATATTTAGCTAAGTGTCACGACCCAAAATTCACCTAGTCGTGATGGCACCTAACCCAACCCGTCAGGTAAGCCAATTAACAACTATCCAATTTAAATGAAATTTATTAAGAAAAGAAATAAAAATACAACTGCTTTATACAAGAATTTCTCAAGGACTGGTAGTACAAATCATGAGCTTCTAAGATTTAGAATTTATAAAATTGGTATGAAATAAAGTACATCATTTGTCTAAAATATACATGAACAGTTTAAAATTCTAAAGCTACCAAGATCAAGAGGCAGCTATGACCGGAACGCAGGTATATCTTCAAATCCAGCTCCCGCCATGCGCAACAACATCAACATCCAACATCTGTATACAAGGTGCAGAAGTGTAGTATGAGTGCAACCGACCCCATGTACCCAATAAGTAACAAACCTAACCTTAGGTTGAAAGTAGTGACGAGTTGGGACAAGGGTCAAGGTCCAAATTCAATAACCAACAACAGTTCATAAAAAGATGATAAAGATGGTACAAGAAATAATTCAGTTGGTTTAGAGTTACGGAAAATAGGCATGATTTTCAAGTATAACAGTAGATCCCAGATCTTTCACCGAAAACCTCAAAAATATATGAATATGTTTGAAAACTATGATTTTTCAAAAAAAATAATATTTCAACAATAAACAAGATGTTCATTTTCAGATAGCATGAGGAATATACATCTCTATACCTACATGTCAAGTACGCATGTCAAATGCAATGCATCTCAATGATGAACTCATGTACTCACACTCTCAGAGTACTCAATCTCATTGTCTTGTATTCTCACTCATCACGCTCAACACTCAACACACTCAGTCACTCAGTACTGTACAGGGCAGATCCAATCCAAACATAATAACTGCTAGCAACTGTGCTCACTGAGGGTGTGCAGACTCCGGAGGGACTCCTTCAGCCCAAGCGCTATAATCCGCATGGACAACTCACGTGCTGCACAAACAACTCACGTGCTATAGTATCAATATTTGGATCCGCACGGACAACTCACGTGTTGCATGGACAAATCACGTGCTATAGTATCAATATCTGTATCTGCACGGACAACTCACTTGCTGCACGGACAACTCACATGCTATAGTATTAATATCTTCACAATCAGGCCCTCGGCCTCACTAGCCATCAATCTCTCTAGTCTCTCGGGCTCACAATGTCATGAAACTATCCCAAAATAATGATATGATGTATCAATAAATAACAACAGATACTTAGATATGATATGCAATGAATGTATATGACTGAGTACGAAATTATAATTTAAACATATAATTCAAAAGCAGAAATGACCTCAGTGGGTCCCAATAATACCAGCATTGGCCTAAGCATGATTTCTAACAAGAGTCACTGCTCAGTTTATCTCACATATAAAAATACATGGAAAAATACAAGTTAATTGACTATACAGCTCTACGGAATCGGCTGAGCCTCAATTTCTATGGTGCACACCCACACGCCTGTTACCTAGCATGTGCGTCGCCTTCAAACAAATCACATAACACGTATAATCAAGGTTCATACACTTAGCTCTAAGTTTAGAAGTGTTACATATCTCGAACAAGCTAAATCCAATACCGAGCAAGCCAAGCGATGCTCCAAAAAGCCATCCCGCGTGTACCAACCTCCGAACGGCTAGAAACCCAAACCATGTGATGAAAATCGCTTCAAAAATCACTTCAATCCGAGCTCCATATCTCCCAATATGCTAAAATGACCAAACCTTCGAACTTAAAGCTTTTGCCCAGTCCTCTTCGCTTCTGCGAACAATGACCCGCTTCTGTGACGTGAAGCCCGCCTCTTCGGAAAAAAAATTAGAAAAACGACTCTTCGCACCTGCGGAACATCCGCTCTTGCGCAATCGCAGGTGCGACCACTGAACGCGTATCTGCGCATAGGACCGCCCCTGCGCCCAAGGATTTCGCTTTTGCGCACACGCAGGTGCTCCTCTTCCTCCATATCTGCGATGATCTCCTATCAAGCTTCTTTGCGCTTCTGCGACCAATTGTCCTCATCTGCAGACTCGCATCTGCGTCCATTCTTTCACAGATGCGGAAGCACCAGAACCAGCATACCTTCAATAATGCAACAAAAAACAAAAATGATTAGAACCTCGTCCGAAACTCACTCGGGACCTCGCCCAAATATGCCAGCAAGTCTCATAACATAACACGAACCTACTCGAGTCCTCAAACCACACATACCAACATCTAAACGATGAATCACACCTCAATTCGAACTTGAATAAACTTTGAACTTTCAACTTTCGAAACTCGCGCCGAAACATATCAAATCTATCCGGAATGAACTCAAATTTTGCACACAAGTCCCAAATGACATATGAAGCTACTACAATTTCCGGAACCACAATCCAAATCCAATATCCTCAAAATCAACATCCGGTCAAACTTATAAACTTTCCAAACCTTCAAATTCCCAACTTTCGCCAATTGGTGTCGAATCCTTCTAGAATATCTAATTGAAAATCCGGACATACGCCCGAGTCCAAAATTACCGTCCGGACCTAACAGAACCATCAAAACTCCGTTCCGGGATCAAATTCACAAAAAGTCAAACTTGATCAACTCTACAAACTTAAAGCTTAAATAATGAAATTCATTCTTTCAAATCGATTCTGATTAACCTGAAAACCAAGACCGATAATTCACACAAGTCATAGTACATTATACAGAGCTACTCATGCCCTCAAACTACCGAGTGAAGTGCAAATGCTCAAAACGACCGGTCGGGTCGTTACATCCTCCCCCACTTAAACATACGTTCATTCTCGAACGTGCTGAGAGTCATTCCAAAGCCATCAAACCGCCGTGTAATCTTACCACGCACATACCCTGGGGTGATCCCACGTCACCCTATTCCATATAGGCCCGACAACACAGCATCATTGAAGATCATTACTTCGACCTTAGCCCGTAAACCTTAGAATCAAATCTACAACATCCAGAATTTCATACAAGACCCGAATCTCGAATCTACACACTATATAAGCCTAAACAAGCTGTATCAAGCCATAACCATAGCCCAAGATGTAATAACATAATATACCACATAACTCAAATTTTCATAGCAATAATTTTCGACCACAATAACTGCTCGAAGCAAACTCGGTACCGGTAATAGCCCTCATATCAAACAAAACCCCGTTCTAAAACCTTCGTACACTGCTGAAAGAAGCACGCAGAAACTCATAACCACTTATCAGATCAACAAGTCATGGAGCCCCCTCTCCTTCGACATGAACTATAGCCAATTTCTAAGCCGATCAACGACATTATCCTTCCAGATATACCGCAAACAAATTCGATAACACCCATTCTAGGTCCAATGACCTCATCTCATCACACAACCACTCTAGTGACATGACACATCAATACATTCTAAAACTACAACCCTCGCAATTCGTGCACCAATAAGCAATAACTCTAATGTACCCCAAACGGAGAATGACTCAAATGAGAGAACTGCCCCGCAAACTCAACAAGTACCACCACAACCGCAATGCTATGAACCCATCACACATGGTAGAACCAAGACTCACGAATCTAACACAAAGGATCATATCTCAACTTAACTTTGCTGCAATGCGTGACCCCATCCAAACATTGGTCTGTATGAAATACCTCAAGCCACCATGCTCAAAATCAACAACTACACGCAATTCGACATCAAATACACGAAGTGTATGACCATAACCCAGAGAAGCAAATAGCACAATATACCACAGTCTGGAGAGAACATAACCAAGGCGCAATCAACCATTCGACACTCCAATAACTATCTCGCTCAAATCCCGCTATAAGGCCCAAATAGAACCGCACCATATGTGCATATAATGAACAAATCACAACCCCTCGTAGCATAGAGGAGTAACACATAGATCATATCAGAATATGAATAAGCTCAACTCTAACTGAATGGCACATCCCCCAACAATAGCATTACGGAGTCGATCAATCCGACTCGATGTAGAATACCCATCCTTGTTGGTCCCCACTCAACTCTGGTCATCCACTAATAGATAAATAATCCCCCAAAAGTACACAATGACCTAATCATAACATATACTATCATCTGGCTAGCTTTGGTCATATCTTCACAGTCCAAAACCACGAAACAATCTGCTTCTGAGAACTCCCGGTCTCCAAATCCATACAACACACGAATCACCATATCTGATCCCAACTCCACCGCCCGAATGTCTTACACATCTCTCATATACGATCATCCTACGAGGAATATTTCTAAAATTCTTTCGTGCCACATAGCAAAAATCTGGATATCAGCAGTCAATCAACTAGGCGAGTACCGCAATACGAATGAAGCATTCGTAAGTCAACACACAGTGCACCTTCTGAAATGTACGCTCTCCTCAGGCAATGCCAAGTAGTAATATAATTCATCTAGTCATCTGAACCCCGCCCATGTTGTCTAAGAATTCATGGCCTTCCTTTCAAAACTAAACCGTGACCTTGCACACGCAAATCTAAATCCCACACAACATACCGCATCTATCACGAATATGAAAAGTATGAGAATCTCATAATCAACTCTGAGTCATAAGTAAACTACATACTCAATTAGCCATGAACCTTCCATTTGATCTCATCCAAGAGAAAATCACAACACGCATCACGCTCCTTACGCCAGAAGGAAATATACACCTCGAACCGTGGTAGAAACCATTGAGAACACTTTGAAATCCATTTTCACATAACCCAACTATCAGAACTGAATCCCTCTAACTCAACCAAATCACACAGGCCGCCAAAACCCAAGATCATTACCACGGAACACCTGTAGAGGCTCACTACATCATAAGTACCCAAATAACCGATCATATCCATTACCTTGCTGATCCAAGCTATTACCAAGTTGTCCTATTTCTATGAGTTCCTTCCGAATTAACCTCCAATGGACACTTACCTTGCCAGAACACCACGATCCTTAACCAAAACTCACCCAACTAGATCCTAACATAAAACCACACCGCCCATAGGCCCATAGGCCGATGTATTCCCTCTTAAGCACCCCAAAAGTACCATAACCGAGAAACCCACTCCGAAAAGACCTTCTGTGAATCTAAAGACATTTCTTTCACCTTCCTGATACTGAAATGTAAAACCCATAATGATATAGAAATACCGCAAGTCCCGACACCATCCAATGCAAATCTCAGATTCTAGCCATATACAAGTCCGAAAAATTTTCAATTGCCACATATAAATCTTGAATCCATTAGAACCTTCTTGAGAGTCATCCACTCTGCTCAAATCTCAATTGCACCGCCCAAACAGGCCGAACGACCTATGCCCCACTAGCACAACAACACCTAAAGAAGTAACCATGCCTTAACGCAACCGAGCAAATTCATACACCGTGCACACTACATCCGTCACGAATAACAACTCAACTCATTCCATGATTTCCATATACCCATAAAGTGTAATATAACTCATATCCAAAAATTCTTTTACTCGAGTCATCCTCGATCTTAACCTCTGCAAGTCATATCTGATTCACAAGTATACCTCAAACCGAAATCAATACAACACATAACCACACAATCAAATCGTCGATAGCTGACTCCCCCACTTGGGTCAAAGCCATAGAACAAAACACTCGATAACTCATAATACCCATACTCTATTACTGCCATAATCCCGCACCGAAGTTCAACTCAATCCTTCATAAGCTCAGGTAACACAAATCATCTAATACCTCAAATCATCTGCAAATCTCGCATTCACCCTCGTGATAGTCAGGTCAACTTTCTCAACTAACCCAAACTCAAATCGCACAAATATAACCCATTGGTAGAAAGAAAGTCTCCACACAGCATCATAAAGACCACACATTCGTGGATTACCCCGCAGGTTATAACTCACCTGTTTAGCCTCAAACTGATATCTCTCTACACCCTTTCACAGTCGTACTACTACGCAATCACTTAATCTTCCTGAATCTGAACTCATCAATAAGACATGAGAATCTAATTTGCTCCACAATTAAGCAACATGAAAGATCCTTCAATACACCTATAACTCGAGACTATGAGTCACATCAAGACATAAATCAAGCATCCAGTAGTCCTTTTTACATCTTAAGCAAACTCTTCTCGTTACAATCAAACCATATGAACACATTCCACAGTCACATCATGCTCCTCATATAGCCATCCAGCCACTCATTGAGTCACAAATTCCACTCATAGGGACACTACCAGACATATAAATCCAAAAGCACGTGCTCACATAACCGAAATCCCCATGCTCAAGCTACAGTCATAACCCGGCCTCAAGTCCTCCAGACTGGCCCATCACCAACACATAGAAAACACATCTCCTACCTCATCCATGGGATCACAAGCCGTCGATGCACAGCTGGGAAATTTATCCTAAATGTCGAATCAATGTCGCACGATAAGGAAAGAAAGATGGGAAATTTATCCTAAATGCCTTGTAGCCTCTCGTATATAGGTATGGACGTCATCATACCGATCCGCAAGATTCTACTAGGCACTTGCTCATGACTTGTAGAACCTATGAATCTAGAGCTCTGATACCAACTTATCACGACCCAAAATCCACCTAGTCGTGATGACACCTAACTCAACCCGTCAGGTAAGTCAATTAACAACTATCTAATTTAAATGAGATTTATTAAGAAATGAAAATACAACTGCTTTATACAAGAATTTTCCAAGGACTAGTAGTACAAATCATGGGCTTCTAAGATTTAGAATTTACAAAATTGATATGAAATAAAGTACATTATTTGTCTAAAATATACATGAACAATTTAAATTTTTAAAGCTACCAAGATCAAGAGGCAGCTATGACCGGAATGCAGGTACATCTTCAAATCCAGCTCCCGTCATGCGCAGTAACATCAGCATCCAACATCTGCACGCAAGGTGCAGAAGTGTAGTATGAGTACAA